TGTGCCCGCCCCCCGCTCGGCCAGTGAGCGGCCGGTCTGTATGTGGGATCCGAACCCTCGGCGGGAGCCGCTGCACTCCCAAGCGGCGCACTGTAGCAGAGCGCCACCGGGCCGGCCCAGAAAATACTTTCAATGCTAAAACTCTTTAGCAGTGTCCTGGAAAGAGCACTGAATGGGGAATCAGGAAAGTTGGGTCTAGCCCCCTTCCCGTCCAAGTATTTGTGTAACAACATCTCTGAGACCCACTTTCCCCTGTCATAAAATGAGAGGATTATTAGACTAAATCAAGGGTCAGCCAACTTTTTCCAGAAAGAGCCCAATAGTCAATATTTTTGGCTTTGCAGGCCATACAATTTCTGTAGCAGCTGATCAGCTCTTCCCATGTAGCATGAAAGCAGCCATAGACAATATATAAATGAATTCGCACAACCATGTTCCAATGAAACTTTATGTACAAAACCGGGTGGTAGGCTGGATTCAGCCCATGGGCCAGAGTTTGCTCATGCCCAGACTAAGACTCTGATGACTAGCACTCTGGCTTTCATTAGACTTGCAGAGCACATTTGCAGTCTTTACCGTTGTTGTTTTGAATATCCAGGATCCGTGCTCTACGGGTGCATAAAAGGGGTGGTTAATAGAAAACTAAATTAAGAAAATGTCAGATAATGGCAACTTTCTTGGACTTGCTCTCTCTAACCACAGCCAGTGACTTGGAGCATAAAAAAAAAAAAAAAAAAAAAAAAGCTTTGGTTTCAGTTGAACAGTTGTGAAACAATCCTTTGATGTGTTTTAAAATTCTGGTGTTTGCTCCCCCATTGCATTAGGCCTGGCCCCAGCAGCAGCATTCTTGGTATGGCCTGTGATGCCAAGGGTCAGTTAGGAGCTCTCACCTTCCTACACTCAACTCAAGCCATAAAATGCCAAATGCACAAGTCTTGCATCTTGGCATGTGCTGTAGCAGGAGCTGTGGGCTCAAAGAAGAGCTGGTGTGTCTTTGATCTGTTCCCTTGTGAGACACACCCTCCTTGAGTCCATTTATAAGATCTTGGCAATCGGTAGAAAGTTCATTATTGTCTGTCACCACTGATTATGCAGATGGTGGGTTGACTGCTGCCTGTGTGTTGAATGGTAAATGCTTGCACAGGATTGGAGATCTAGACATGGGCCTTCAACCCCACTTAAACCAGAGAAAAATGGTGGCTCTCAACTCTAAACAGGACCAAAGTAGCGCTGAAGTAATCAGCCCAGATAGTATTTAGGAGCTGATCTGTTCTGGGTAGGCGGGTGTAAGCTCAGTAAGCTTTTGCTGAGTTACAAACTACCCCCAAACTTGGTGATTTCTCTCTGTCCAGTGGACAATTCTTCTGGGCTGAGCCAGGCTCAGCAGCTGGGCTCTTGTAGGTAGCTGTGGTCAGCTGGAAGGTCAACAGGGGAACTGGTCAGTCTTAGATGCCCTCATTCACCTGTCTGCTGCTTGGCAAACTGTCTAGCTGGGGTGCCTCCTCCATGTGGCCTTGCGTCCCCAGCAACCTAGCTCAGGCCCATTCCCATGGGGGTCTCAGGTTCCCAAGGTACAGAAGTGTTTTCCATGCCTCTGCATGACACATTGGCTAACATCCACTGGCCAAAACAACTCAGATGGTCACCTAGATTCAAGGCATGGAGAAACAAACGCTACCTCTGGATGGGAGGATCTGCAACATTGCAAGGACATGGATGCAGGGAGAAAGACAGTGTGTGGCCATTTTTACAATCTATGGCAGAGAGACCCTTAGCTCCCCTTCCTGCTCCTTTTCTTACCCTGTGTACATCATCTTTTAGCAGCAGTCAACACCGCTTTACCTGGGATGCACAAGTGTGGTTGGAGGGTGGTCTTTTCCCCAGCCCAGTCTTCCCCCCGCTACGCCCACCTTAAGCTGTTTCCCAAACTTTCCCTCTGGTCAGCTCCTCACCTTCTGGCCTGTTAACCTTGTTCTTTTTTATGTCCTCAAATTAGAAATTTGAAATCCATTGCCTCCTCTCCTTTGCCTTCTAAGGACCTCCTGCCTTCCTGTTCTCTGACTTTTCCAGTGTTATCCATGGAGCCCAGTTACTCAGGCCTCCCTCACCCACTTCCCAAACACTGGCTAATTGGAAGTGGATGGACTCAGCAGCCATCCTCAAAAAATGAGTGGTCATTATGAAAATGTGTTGCTCATCCTGCAAGCCAGCTGCATTTGCGGCCCTCTTCTATTATGTACAGAATCCCCAGCCCCCCTCCCCAAGCATCATAACTGCCTACAGATTTCACAATAGCCCAGCCTTTTCCTGGCATCATGATAAAGGCTCTGCAGCGTTGGGACATGTAATTGGTCTTCTGAAGTGTTTTGGTATTTTGTGTGAGGGTGCCAGATGAGCCCCAAAGAAGTGGCATTGATTCCATATGATTGTGTTGTTGTATATTTATATAGGGAGGACTCTGTGCCTCCCTCTCTCCCGTTCATCCCTGTCCCCTTGTTGGCCATTCAAGTTTCTTATCTGAACATTCAGTGTGAAACCAAATATTTGAGTAATTGATTAATCACTTGCATTCGCACGATTGGCTGGCAGAGGACGATGGTTGGATGATAGCCAACCAACTGAAACAATTTTTGGACCCTGGATTTATTTTACAGGGAACATAAGACCAGATAATTACCTGGCATATTCCGGATAAATTCACAGTGGCATATTCTAGCCAATTACTTAGTAATTATCATTGGAGTTAACAAGTATTTCTAAGATTAGCTTCCTTGTAATACAATATGTATGGCTCTTGGGAAATGAGTAATAACCAACTAGTTACCCAGTTGCTATATTCACAAATACAATTAGCAGCAGGATTGCTGAATTGTTTCATGATTGGGTTGTTATGGGATTATTGCAAAGCTATCGACAGGCTGTGCAATTGCTCATGTTGGATTTGAAAGCTAATAAAGATAGAGTTGAATGAAATCATCTCTCATTCTTCCTTCTTGCGGTGGGGTTTCCTAAGCCTCAGTTTCCCCACTGTAAAATGAGCCAGATGGAAGAAAGTGTTTATTTCAAGATCCTTTCAACTCTGACAAATTTCTTCAGTTCTCTGGGAATGGACTGTGTTTGAGAAGCATCTAGGAACAGCTCTGGAACAGTGCTTCCCAAAGGATGGTCTGCCCAGACTGCCTGCTCAGAACCTCCAATGGAGGAAGGCCATTAAAATGCAGATTCCTGGGTGCTACTCGAATTCATTTCCTGTGGCTGTCATAACAAATCACCCCAAACTTGGTAGCTTCAAACAACACATTTATTCTCATTCAGTTCTGGAGGTCCAAAGCCTGAGTGGGTCTCACTGGACTAAACCAAGGCAGTTTGCTATATTCCTTTCTGGAAGCTGTAGAGGAGAATCCATTTCCTCGCCTTTTCCAGCTTCTAGAGCTGCTTTTCTGGCATTCTGTGGCTTGTGGCCCCTTCCTCCACCTTCAGGGGCAGCAGCATAGCCTCCTGTTTCCATGGTTACACTGCTACCTTCTTCTGTAGAAAAACCTCCCTCTACTTCCCTCTTATAGGACAGTTACGATTGCATTTAGGGTCCACCCAGATAAGCTGGGAAAATCTCCCCATTTCAAGATGTTTAATTTAATCACATCTGCAAAGTCCCTATTTCCCATATGAGGTAACATTCACAGTTTCCTGGGATTAGGGACAGGATATCTTCGGGAGCCATTTTCAGTCCATCACACTACCTTAGACCTAATGAACCAAGTCTGTTTGTAGATGGAGCCTTTTTAATCGAGCTCCCCAGATCATTCTAATCCAACTAATATTTGGGAACCATGCCTTAAAGAATATCACTGGGGGGACCCACTATGCACCCAGCATTGACCCCAGATGTGCCCATCTAGTGCAAAGGGAAATGGAAACAGACCAGATCAAATT